AGATCATACAACTTCATCATTTAGCAATCAGCTCTCCCTAACATGAGAGTAAACAATTTTTTTAGCAGTGTGTATCAAAGACAACTTGCTCCAAACCGTACTGCTCTAACACTATTACTGGTGAAAATCCTAGACACACACACATACAGCCTTTTTAGGCAACACAAAATCCTTCACGAGTGCCCTTAAATCACTAATGAGGTCACTGTAACAAAAGAACACATTAATAAATATACGCAAAGAAACAATGAAATAAATCAGCCAGATTTTTCTAAGCCAAATCTATTGTGAGGTTTCTTACTTTTCCCTAACAGATAAATATAATCCAAATTATTGCAAACTCCTATTCTGATTTCAGCTCACAGCAACAGAGAAATATATGATCACAAAACAAACAGAATCTGAATACCACTCTTACCTTGGCCATCTGTGCCTGCACTCCATTTGCCTTGAGAGATGCTACTGCTTTCTGTGCAGCTGCGGGACTATCGAAATCCACAAAACCGTAACCTGTGAAAACACGAAACCCCTCGTTAGCTCTCACAACAGCTGTGTCTCTATGATATCGATAGAATGTCTATTTGTTGTCAAACTTGCATTCATGTCCCTGGTCTAACATAAAGTCTCTCAATCTATGGTCCTTACTATGTCCAGAAAAAATACCAAAATATCATTAAACATAAAACAATTAAGTCCTATTTTCTAGTGATTGCTTTAGAAGTTGGTTGTACAACCAGCAACCTGATTTAGACTAATTTGGTAAGGTAATAGATTATTTAACCATGTTGCACTTTCTTCATTGGATTTGCTGCATGATTGAGGAACACAAAATTCTGAAAAATATTTTTTAAAGTTTTTAAAGTTAATTTTTAAAGTTAATATTAATAAGAGCCATGATAGAACTTGCATAAAAATATCACCAGCAACCTCAGCAGTACCTGGCACACAGTAGGCATTCAATAAATATATGTTAACTGTGTGAATACATAAAGGTTGTAACGGAAAGTTAGGGTTTGAACCTAGTTCCAGTTGATCCCTAAGCCAATACTAATTCATTACAGAACGTTATCTCTCTCCGTAACATCTAAAAACACTATTTTGACTCTAAAGTGATCTGTGATAAGTGAATAAAGTGAATAATGAGATACATATTCGAGTTTCTTTTAAAAATAAAGCACACATTTTAAAATAAGTAAATACTTTTAAAATACCCATGCCACTTGTTACCTGAGTATAATCTGAAAAGGGCACAACAGTTGTCTATACTGTTCACCGATTATGTGTGTGTGTGCGTGTGTGTGTATGTGTATGTATACAGAGTGACGCCGAAGAAATAGTCAGTAAAATAGAATAAATGAAAAAGGGATTTTGCATGCTCATAAAATAGCTGATATGAGTTCAGTGCTTAACTAACAGTGATGTGAGCTGCCAGCTTTGTTTGGCACATCTAAAAAGGCCACCATATGTATCCTACTCCTCTTTTCATCTGTTAGGCAGGAATTAGCTCTGTATTCTAATACTTCTCTCATTTAGAAGTTTGGAGGTGAGCTATTAAGGCAAATTTACTAACCATGAACTGTAATTCCTACCCCTCACCCAAATAACTGAAGAAATGTGCAAGAGAATTTAATTACCAAGTTGTTTCTTTTAACTGTTTAATTTTCTCTCCTCGAATCCCGCCTTCTTTTTTTTTTTTCCCTCCCAGCATGTTATCCTGAAATGAACTTGTTAGCTAGCAGTGTACATAAAATGCTCTTGAAAAGCTGGGCAGAGTAGTTGTGAAGTTTGTATTTCTAATCCAAAAGGGAGACTGTTCTGTAAGTACTGCTAATTCTTCTCTTCCTACAAAATTCAAACTATGTGAGTGATATAAGTATTACCACCCACTGAGTAAGATAGAAAAAAAAGGCAGAAAGAAAAAGAGGAAAAAGAACAAAATAAGTTAAATATTAGAGTTAAAGGAAGTGGAAAGTAAAATTAAAATGTAGACATTATCTCCTATGTCCCAGATACTATGCTGGGTGGTTGACCAAAGTACATAATTTTATGTACTATGGTCCTCATGCACATTCATGGGTATAAATGAAGAAACTGAGGCTCAGGCAAGGTGATAAGGAATCACAAGCTGCTTAATTGGCAGATCCAGGATTTGAGGCCATCTACATATACAGTTCCCAAATACATCACACGATGAACTGCTTTGTAACCTCACTTTGTGAACCATTTCTGGTAGCCCCTGAAACTCATGATGGAGAGAATGAAATTCTTAAAAATTCCTTGGATTTTGAAGTTAGGGCACAGAATAAAACAATTCCACTAACGGATTCAGTCCAGCCCATTCAGTCAGTACATTATTAATGGTGTGGTTGAGTTCTCAGTAGAACTGGCTAAGTGAGGTATGGCAAGGCACCCCTTTGCACCTCATGCTTTGGTCAATCTTCCTCATCCATTTCCATGCTTATTCTTTTATTCAATAATGAAATTAATTTCAGCCACTTTGCCAAGCACAGGGTACATAGTAGTGAATAAAATAGTACCAGTTCCCATCTTATGCAGCTTATCGTTGAGTTGGGAGATGGACACTAAACAAATAACCATATAAATGAATCTCTAATTACAAAATAGCATGTCTCCTTTGAAAGAAAGCAAGAGCATATAATATAGAATCTAACTATTGGTTATTTATTATTGAAAGCTTTAAGGAAACAGTGGCATGAAGGGATCTGCATTTCTTACACCGTCACTCCAGCTGGCTTCTGCTGAAGAGTAAATGGTTGTGGAGAAGGTGGGCAGCAAGAATGGAACCGGAAAGGTGACTTAGGGAGAAACAAAATGAATGGGATGAAAGAGATGATCTGAATTATATTTTGGAGATATAATTTATAGGACTCAGTGATGAACTGACTGGATTGAGAGTAAGGGAGAGACAGAGGACGTGGATTACTACTGTTCTTTCTTGGCATAAGCCACTGGGTGGGCGGAGATGTAATTTACCGAAATGAGGCGACTGAAGAAGGATCAAACCGGGGAGATGGGAAACTTAAAATATTGGTTTGAGACATGTTGAGCCAGAAATGCCTACGAGACTTCTGAGTAAAAATGGCATGTAGCAGTTTGGAGTGTTTAGACTGGTGCACAAACAAGGAATAAGATTGGAAATATAAATTGGGAGGTCAACAGCATAAAAATATTTACAAAGATGGAAATAGACAAAAAAAAAAATGGCTAGTGTTAATAGAAACAAAGGGCCCAGCTTGGGGAGCTTGAACAGCTTCAGCATTTAGGTGTCAGATAAGAAAATAAGATTGCACAGGAGGTAAAGGGAGAATCAATGAGAAAAAGGAAACAAAATGGGAATAGGATGTCTCATAGCTAAGGTGAGGAAGTGTCTGAGGAGAGAGAAATCAACTGTATCGAATGCTACTGAGAGCATGAACTCACGGGAACTTGGAAATGCCCAGTGTGTTTAGGAGAGTGGATGTCGTTATTGTGATTTGCTTCAGGCAAGTGGTGGGAATAAAGTCTGCCTGAGTAGTTGAAGAGTGAGAAAGGTGAGGAGGCAGACAGAGTGCTTAGAGGCCTCTTTGCCGTTATCTTGGCTGGGATGGAGAACTAATAGGCAGCTTTAGCTAACGGGGGGGATGTGAGGTCTAATGAGTTGTTTTTGTTTGTTTGTAGACAATACTATGGTTTTTAACCATAGCTGCACACTAGAATCACTTTGGGAGCTAAAAATAATATCAATGTCCAGAACTCACCCCCAATAAAATTAAATCAATATTTGGGGGAATGTGGCTCAAGTGTTTACACACACACACATGCGTGCACGCACACATACACGTGTGTGTGTGTCTATTCCCAGCTGATTTCAGTGTGAAGCCAGGGTAGAGAAGTACTATTTATTCAAGTTATTCAACAAATACTTATTTGTTGCACCTTCTATGGGACTGTTTTTGGCATTTGTGAATGTTGATAAGAAAAATCAAGCAAAAAGCATGAGATTAAAGCTTCAAGAGCGCAAGGGGATAATTTATACAATAATATTCCTGAGGTGAAGGGGTGAGGGGATCTAGAACATATATGAAGTCTACCTTTTGCTAAAAGAGAGACCCTTCCCTTCCATGTAACTGGATTTTTTTTAAAAAAAGAACACCCTTAGTTACCAGGTATTATTTCTTTGTCTGTTCCCCATTTTGGGACTATGCATAACACATAGCCTGTGCTTAGTAAATATTTGTGAAAATTAATTGAGAGCCTGTTTAAAAGATGCTAACTTACTTCATGGGACCACAGTGGAAATTAACTGATAAGAATGTCTGTTAATACACTTTGACTGTATAGAACTACATAAATGCCAGGCAGTCATGGTGCTGGTTCAGGCATGCTGTCACCCAGAAAGCAGCCTTGGATTTCATGATTCCTAGCCTCTTATTACTCCTGTGAGGCTTCTTCTCCCTGGGCTCCTCCCTCTCCTTCCCCCTCACCAAATGTTACACAGGATATTACAAAATTATTATGCTGATCTCCAGGGCTAAACTCCAATCCAAACAGAAGAAATATCTGTGAGGCATGAAATACCCTCAGTTTTCTCTGAATTGGGGAGGTAAAGGGTGAACTTGGAGAAGTGTATTTCTATGGAGTCATCTTGCCAGCAAGGAAAGAAAATGGCCCCTTCGTACAAAATATCTTCACATTAACAGGGGAGCTAAAACCAGGTAAAACAGTTATAAATAAATAATAAGCCACCAGAACTGAAATAGTTCACCGACTTCTGTGTTTTTCATACACACTCACTTTAATTAAAATGGAAGTTCAGAGGCAAAAATGTCTCAAGCAACGCTGAAAAACACTCTGATTCTAGAAATAAACATTGCATTCCTGAGTTTTATGTGACAGCAGATACTACATCACATTCTGAAGAAAAAATGAAATACAAAGCAGCCCCTAAAGAATAATGATGCATTTACTAAGGAAGAAAGGAACTTCGTTTTGGTTTCAATTTGCTTTCCTTAATGACAAATAATCAAGTCTGGGAACAGAAACCTCTGTAGCTACATCTGGTGAGGGGCAGGGTAGGGAGATTAGTTCAGCTCCAGCTAATAGTGCTTTATGGTGACTGGTAAAATCCTCGATAAAACACCCGTGACTGGTAACCATCAGAAGAAACTGCAGCCCAAGTGGCTGGAAGCCCACTGGTCTAACTCCCTCAATTACATAATTAAGCTTGGCAGCAGGTTCAAATGAATTAAAACTGAATAATGTCACTGTTTCTCCACATACCCTATCCTTGTTTTTCTTCCTTATCAGGGGGAGAAGGCCAGCAGTTCTGCAATTAGCGAGAAGCAGAGCAGTGAGAAAGAACCAACTCCACGCTAATTAGGTCATTCGCCAAATACACTCAATCCATTGGCAGATATAATCGATGTTTTCCTGAAATGCTTTACACTTTGTGTGTTAATTTAAAGTTTTATTATTTTTGTTGCACTACAAGATTGACAATTTTATAGAAA